TTCTTTAGATAGAGTGAAATATGATGGAGTTTTTTCCATAAGTACTCCATGCCTAACTTAATTCTTCTGTTGATTTCTGATGCTAGAGATCCCGAGCTGCGTATTAGTTTTGATTCCTAAATATTCTTCTACTTCTTTGTCCTAAATATTCTTCTACTATTTCCAGTGTTGTGTTATTTATTAGGATATCTTTTCTTTCCACTAGTTTGTTGTACATTACTTTATTTTTTGCTAAATTCATTTTGAGACCCACTTTGCTTGTAGTTCTTCAGGACTATCGACAATTATGACTATGTCATCAGCGAATCTCAGATGGCTGATATTCTCCATCTATTTTTAATCCTTTGTTGGTCCAGTCCAGTTGACGAAAGATTTCTTCTAATGTTGCTGTAAATAGCTTTGGGGATATCGCGTCTCCTTGTCGTCCTCTTTTGCCAGTTGGAAACTCTAGGGTTGTTTTATATATCATTTCATTTTTTCATTAAGACATTAAGACAAAAATAACTTATGAGAAATAATTATATTCGATTTTTTAACAGTCAAAAACAAAGCCCGCTTGATCATAAAACTTTCTGAATATGATATTATTTAAGTTGTTATTTATTTATCTTACCCGATTTATATCCATGTATAATAAATCTTCTCTACTATTATATATATTTTATTATGTTTTATCATATTTATAGCCCGAAAGAGATTTTATTTCTTTAAAACTAGTTCCATATTTTCCATTATGTAACTGCGAATATCAGGACTCGTATTTCACAAGTTTTGGCTTTGTTCCAAGTCAAAGAAGGAATGGTATCTGGGAAGACAAACATTGGGGAAATATATTTAAATAGAACAATATACATATTCCGGTGTCAGTGTATATAGCCCACACGAAAAGAACTTATTGTTTTATGCAGATGTCGCCTTGAATAAAGCTATTTTCCATTTATTAATATTCCAATAGATACAATAGAATTTATCAAGTGGGTATTAAGCGTATGAAATATTTATTTAGATGATATAAAACAGTATTATGCTAATATCATTTCCGGAAGATATGTATCATTTACTCAGTACTTTTTCTTTATTTTGCATTACTCTTTTAGTAAACTATTTTGAATTATTTCGAAATTTCTTGTAGCATTTTGACACTAATACCATTAATACTGACCCCGCAGGGACATATCTACGATTTAAGTTTGTAGAATTTTCAATTATTATAAATATAAAATATAATAATTTTGGAATAACAGAAAATTTACAATCCACTCAAAGTGTTATAAAAATATCTTGAAACGTTGAGCTTATTTTTATTGTAAAGCTTCATTCAGAACCTCGCAATTAGTGGAATAAATTAGTGGTTTCAATTACACTTTATACTTTTAATTTACGATCATTCACCATGTCTAAAAAACACAATTAAAATTAACAGAATATCCTAGCAACAGCTTGCGATAATCAGTCGTATCCATAGAGAAAGCCTAATATTTAGCTTACAAAACAATAAACTTTTGATTTCTAACCACATTTTATCTTGACGGATGATAACAAAGGCCAAAATTACATTCCTCGTAAATTTTGAAGTATAATTAGTGGAAAAGTTAAAAGTTTGGTAACTCTTTCCACTAATTGAAAATTCCTACCACTAATTTCACGTTCTGAATGCTTCAAATTAGAGGAACAAACTTCTACACTAATTGAAATTGAAACCACTGACTTAATCCACTAATTGCGAGGTTTTGAACGAAGCTTTAGTCCTTGCTATTCTTATTTGATGTTGTTTTAAGAGAGGTTTATTATTTTTGTGTTAATTTTATGGATAAGATGCGTGCTTGAATTTGGTATACTATTTGTATATAGCTTATCAATAAAATAAAAATGCTTGTGAGTACATCGTTTAGATCAAATCTTCGAAACTCTTTATTGCTGGAACAACAAACAACAAGCCTACAGTTAACAGTATTTTTTTTTAAACAGCAGATTTTTTCTTTCTTTTTTACTTACTTCCGTTTATTAATTATAATTTTATATATTTGTTAAATCGGTTGTTGCGCACACTGCGTGTAATTTACTGCCTTAATTTATATTATCCAATAAATTCAAATCAAATTTGTCTTTTTTGTTTGTGCTTATTCATATATCAATGTATTTATTAAGTTAAATATGAATGGCTCTGTGAACTAGACGTCGCATATTAATTAAAATTTTATCATTAATTAAAAAAAGTAAATTGAATTAATAATAAGGACCATCTTACCATCATTATTATTATTAATAATATTTAAACAAAGGCTGATAAATTCAGTTATCGCTAAAGAGTTTGCAACCAATAAGATATTATTTTTAATATTGAGTTAACAAACTAATATATTATGGAATCAATTCCTCATGCACAATAGCAAAAAAATAACTTTGACAAATACCTTATGATTGACAATAAATGACGTCAGTTACTTTAGACTAATGTATGACGATTGATATAATTATCAATCCTATTTCTAAAGTAACTTGGCACCGTTTTCTTTTCAATAGTACGATAACTCTTATGATAACTCTCATGGCGGCAAATGTAATTCTTTTATAAGTATATGTTACGGCTAAAATTGATACTTGGCTAGTTTTCAAACTAGCCAGCTATTTTGCAAACCAATAGCAAAACCAACACCACAAACTAACACCAAATCAACAAAATATCAGCGCTTTTTGCTAAATAGCTGGCTAGTTTTCAAACTATGTATTAAACAAAAATATTTTGTAGTCCCAGTAGCGTTCTTCATATCGTCGCAGAATAATCGTTGAGATAGGTGTATTTTTTGCAAATTAAGTTTCTCATTTATTTATTTTTTGAAGAATGGAGTGGTCAAATGAACTGGTTATAGAATTTTTGGAACTTTACGAAGGAGAACCAGCAATTTAGAATCCAAAGGACCCAAACCACAAAAATAGAAATATTGTTCATGATAGTTGGAAAAGGATTGAAACTAATTTAAGTATCAAATGCACGGTGGCGGAACTTAAAAAAAAGAAAGAAGCATTGCTGGCAATTTTTAGAAAACTGTGGCAAAAAGTAAAAGCAACCACTGGAACCGGCACAGGGACTGACGACATTTTTAAACCGGACTGGTTTGCATATGAATTCATGCACCGATTTCTACACGGAATTTTTCCACCATCGTCTTTTTCTTTTTTCTTTGTTTTTATTTAAATTATGTTCAACACTCATTAAAATAAAACTTGCTGCACAGGCAGCAATACGCTGTTTTTGTTGCAATCTCATTATTTGTTCTTCCCTTCACGATGTTGACTACACACTGCCACAAACAAATATACACTGCACCGTTTTCACTACTATACAACTTGGCAAGTCCTGTCGACGGTCGTCGAAAATAAGAATAGCCGCGCGCCGCGCCGCGCCGTGGGAAAGAACCACGCTCGCTGACTCGCCACTTGGCGAACTGACTTGCCAAACCGAAATTCGCCAAGTCGTGGCGATGCGTGATGCGTGGTGATGCGTGGCCGCGTCGTGGGATGCCGGCTTATAACCGGCATACTACTTTTGATATCTTGTAATTGAATATCACTTTAATATGTATATGTTACGGCTAAAATGGATACTTGGCTAGTTTTCAAACTAGCCAGCTATTTAGCAAAAAGCGCTGATATTTTGTTGGTTAGGTGTTAGTTTGTGTTGGTTTGTGTGTGTGTTGGTTTTGCTATTGGTTTGCAAAATAGCTGGCTAGTTTGAAAACTAGCCAAGTATCCATTTTAGCCGTAACATATATATCGTATTGCTGCCTGTGCAGCAAGTTTTATTTTAATGAGTGTTGAACTTAATTTAAATAAAAACAAAGAAAAAAGAAAAAGACGATGGTGGAAAAATTCCGTGTAAAAATCTGTGCATGTATTCATATGCAAACCAGTCCGGTTTAAAAATGTCGTCAGTCCCTGTGCCGGTTCAGTGCCAGTGGTTGCCTTTACTTTTTGCCACAGTTTTCTAAAAATTGCCATCAATGCTTCTTTCTTCTTTTTAAGTTCCGCCACCGTGCATTTGACACTTAAATTAGTTTCAATTCTTTTCCTTTTCTACAAATGTGAATTGAACTATCTGTGTTGTGCTGTATTTTCGATACAATTAAGGCTATTGTGCTATGTGCAGTTTTTGTGGGGTAAGATAAGTAAGGTAACAGCAAATTATTGTTAAAATTTGTTATAGTACGTTAAATTAATAAAATAAACATACCTGGGTATATACCAGGTATAATATAGTATTTAACGAAATTCAATGTACTCTGTATTTATCCATTGGGTATATACCGGATGTAAAACATCAGGTATTTATAGTAGTATTTTATTATTTCAATATACCTCACTCAACTCCAGAGATGGGCAAACCACACAATCATTTTGATAAGCCTTAAGCTTGATTTTCATGCATCCGTTGTCCGACGATACGTTGATACGATATTAATTTTATTGGTAGAATTTAAAGACTTTGATTGGTTAGAAAATAACGCAGTTTTTATATTTATTGCATTTTCATGCCTCCGTTTATCGGATATACGTTGGTGTTATTTTATATTTTCGTTTCCATAACGATTTTGCTATTTTACTTATATTTTTATTAAGGTTAGATTAAATTTGTCAAAAAAGTGTCAAAACGTCCATTATCGTATGAACGGATCCGTTGACGGGCTGAAGTAAAATATTTACGGATGAAAAGTGGCGCGAAACCGCTATGACCAATCAAAGCACCGTCGGACCATCGTATCAAGGTATAACGGATGCATGAAAATCAAGCTTTACTGAAAATAGTCAAAATCGAATTCTAAACAACTCTTCCTTTCGATAAATTTGTCATCTCTCTAACTCTTGTTTTTTTTTAAATTTATTTTTCTCTTGTATATGCTAAATGATTTTTTTGCTATTGGCCAAAATTATACACGTCGTTCTTCCTTCTTTGTTGCAAATCTTTTGCTACAAACTCTATGTACTGATATATATTAACTTACCTAAAGTTTTTGAGCTAGTTACAGGACTAAGTGGATAAAAATCCCCGTGGAGGGGGCAGTGGAACCCGACCGTTTGCTCTCTCCTTCGAGCCCTCCGCGTTAAATAACACAACACACAACCGGATATCAACATTATCAGTCCGACGACCATACATGCCGGACCCAGCACCCTGGAATTGCCCGTGAAGGCGATGCGTTCTGCGTAATGGTCGGGCTCCTCATCTTCGCCTGGACCCCTGTATGATGCAGCTGAAAAAAGAAAAAAACACATCAGTATTAACAGAAATAAATCACATTTCATTAAAAATCTATTAATTCTAAAAACAGACTTAGGTCATATATACAGGGTGCTACAAGGTATTTAAGGTACGAGCATTGGTATCTCGGAAACCGTAATAGATACGAAGATGGTGAAAATGGGGCAAATTTGCGCCTTGGGATATTCACCAAGATGTCATCAAAAATATTTTAAAAATTTAAAGGATTGCTGAGGTTTTTGAAAAAAAAACGGATTTTCTTGAAAATCAATTTTATTTTTTCCTGTCGTTACATTTTAGAAAATCACAAAAACTAATTGCACATTCTCATAGCCACTTTATTAGGGCTATCTGATAGTATTTTTAGATTTTCAAATTAGCTGATAATTTGTAAGATACAGAGGCCAACTTAATTTTTTTAAATATGCACCTACATTTTTTATTTGAGGTTCTTTTGGGTACTTCTTTTGAGGTTTTGTTTTGGGTACCTTAACAACAACAAAACTATTTAATTATCATTTAAAATAATTTCAAGTCCAACTCTTAAATTATTTAATCTGATTATATTCATCGCAACAATACTGATCAGCGCTAATTAACATTGAATAAGGAAAATCGAGCCAATTGAACGCTCTAACATAGTAGCGGAACAAATCTACAGCACAACCAATTATTGCATTCGGTCATATAGGTTGACAACTTACGGTATGTGGACATTTGCCTGATTTTTCATTGTTACGTGTTCAGTTTTAATTCAAAAATAAATGGCAATCTTTCTGAAATTACTCAAAATCCGCTTGTCCAAAATTGTTCAAATTTGACATGTGTATTTATAATTCACAGACCTTTAAAAAAACTATTTATAACTTTGCTGCAAAATCAATAGGAGAGCCAATGTTTGAATGATTCAAAATTTTCATGAGATTTCCTATGTTTCCAACGCTAAAGCACCACCCGATATGGCCATACTCAAATAAAAATTTTACCTAAAAATTCGATTTCATGAATGCCATGCACATATCAAATCTCAATTTTCTAGAGCGAGCCGTTTTTGAAAGTCGATTTGTGATTTTGATCCAAAAAATCTTATTTCTCACAAATTTGAATCTAAAAAATATGTAGATCCCTTGTAGCTTAAAAGAAATACCATATTTTTAAAATAAGGTCATTTTCTGGTTTTAGCCGGTCTAACAGGAAGTGGCTGCCACTTTCTCATTTAAACAGAGTCAGCTATAAATTTTATGATTTTTGAATCCTATACAGGGTGTCCCAGGAATAAGTGTAAGTATTTTAACGGGTGGTAGTCTCGATAAAAGAAACATATTTTCTCTTTATCGTTTTTCAAATAAGTCCAAAATAACGGAGGTATTTTACATTGAAAAAGTAAAAAAAATGATTTTTTGCTAAAATTTTGAGAACCACTGGATCTTTTCTGGATTTTCTTTCTTGTAAATTTAATCTAATACCTATGTTGCCATATTATCAAGAAATTATATTTTTTAACTAAAAACTAAAAAAAATTTCAAATTTTTTTTTCGCGAAAAAAACTTCATGGGCGTGTTTCTGGGGTTGAACTATACTACCAGTTAAAATACTTGCACTTATTTCTGGGACACCCTGTATAAATTCTAAAGCATACTTCGTCTATAATTAGTCAGAACTGTTACGGATTTTTACACTATTGCCTTTCGCTTTTGGATTATTGTTTATAATTCAAAAACTATAAACTTTTAGTAAATAACTTTTCTATTCAAAATGAAAATATATAATTTTCTATAATTTTTGATATTTATATGGTTATTAAGTTTGTCATAAATTGTTATAAAGGTCCCAAAGTCGCATCGAGAAAACCGGTGTTTCCCCTTTAATCCCCTGATATCTATTTGAGATATTCCTGATCTGATAGTATTTTTGACAAAGATATTTCTGATAGCAACTTTTTAATTTGCGACCCTGTTTATACAATCATCAGAAAACGTCGATTAAAAAAATAGTAAAACAATTTTAAAACTTTAACGATTAACCATACCTTGCTACTTCAACTTACCTGTTAGTACGCATCCGACCAGCAAGAAGAGAAACCCGAAAATGGGCAGGATAATCTGGCAATTGGCGGCAACCACCACACCCGCCACCATCAGGCCGCCTTCGATCTTCTCGACGCGCAGACGCGAAATGGGCGTCGGGCAGCGCAGCTTGCCGCCCGTTGCCGTCCCGTCGCTCTTCGGGACGCCGCCACCCGAGATCTCGTTAGGCCTGCAAAGAAGAAAACAGTTAATGAGAAAAGGTGAAATGATAAAAGTTGAGTTGAGTAATTATTTTTCGAACTTTAAAAAGGTACCTTATATATTATATGTATACTTAGGACATGAGATCGGTATTAGAAGGGATAATCTTCTTCTTACAGTGCCATACTCTGTCATAGAGCGTCGGCTACCTCTCGCATGTACTTGTGATGTATGTCATCAGTGTTTCACAGTTCACAAGTACACGGGACCTACAGTTTATCGCCGAATCCGAACGGCACTATTTGAGAGGCTGTACAAGGCAAATATACTCAAGGTGGTTTGGCATTGTCCTCCTTGAGGTGGCGGCTCCTTGGTCGCTCTATTTAGATAAATAAATATGTTTATTTAAATAAATCAAGCGACCGTACTGGCTGGGGATCGAACCCAGTACCTTCCGCTCCGCAGATCGGCACACTAACGCTGGAGCTACGGCCGGCCACAGGGATAATCAGACACGCGAAGGTTTGTCGTAGGCGGCACTCGGTAAACTAAAGCATATACTGAGATCTGATCTTCGAATATGTTTAAAAAGAATTACCAGTGTGTCTTGCCTGTCCTCACGTATGGAGCTGAAACACTTACTTTGACAAAAAAGAACATACATAAAATACCTACAGGTCATGCAACGGAAAATTGAAAGGTCCATGTTAGGAGTTACACTTAGAGATAAAATACCCAATCATCGAAATCGAACAGGAGTAAGAGATGCGGTGATTCGGCAGTCTTACATCTTAAATGGAATTGGGCAGGACATGTGGCTAGGATAACAGATGGGCGGTGGACAGAGAGACTTGTGGAATGGAGACTCAGACACGAGGCCTATAGAAGCAGAGGACGACCTCCTAGTCGATGGACAGATGATATTAAGAGAGTGGCTGGAACCTGGATTCAAGTGGCACAAAATAGAAAGAAATGGCTAGAGTTAAGGTAGGCTTTTGTTCAGCAGTGGACGGAATAAGCTAAATGATATTCTATTCGCGAAATATCCCGAAGTAGGTTAAGGTTGAACAGTAAAGAGAGTTATTCCGTGTTTCCTCGTCGACCTTCGTCTCGCCTCGGCATATTTTCATTTCGTAAAACGCCTCACAGTTAGCCTGGGCCAAGATGTCTAGAAAAAAAAATATATAAACTTTGAGTACTTTATTTTTTAAATGCCGATACCACAGGCTTCAAAAAAAAATATAAAAATTAAAATCGCCGACGTACATTTGGGGTCTCTACACAAATTTAAAAAAAACTTTTTCAACCAAAGTTAAAAGCGCGCAGAAAGTTTTGTTAATAATAAATAACGACCATCATCACCAAAAGGTATGCTTACTGTTGCCCCCCTCCCTGTTTCTAAATCCAGGAGGTTGGGTCTCTGCACAAATTTAAATAACAATTGATATTTTTTTTCTTGACATCTTGGCCCAGGCTAACTGTGCGCCAATAAACTACTCGAGAAATTGCGGAAAACTTTCGGCTGTCTCGTTCAATTTCGTTTTATCTCGAACTAATTCCATGTCGTGTCATTTTCTAAGCCCGAGTCAAAGGATTTTTTTTTCATAAATCTCAGTGAAATAAGTAAACCTAGACGTTTTAAAATGTCTGTTTTTACAAAGATATTTCTTTAATTACATCTCGTTATGTTGATATACATATATTCCACAAGATTAACATCTGAATATGCGTTTATAATACCGTATAACAGATATTTAAGAACAAAAGGCTGCAGGAATATAATTATTACGATATTTTCATTATTTAATTTTATTATAATGAATTGAAAATAAAATTGTATTTGTTATGATTGTTTACGGCGTAAATTTATTAATATAACTGTAGTATTGTTTGATGAATAATACTGGCAACATCATCAATATGTCGAGATGACCCAATATCAACAAAAGTATGGTCCACGGATATTATTTAAAAGCAATGTTCTCGTATTGTTTTTAAGAGAAAACACTGTAAACGATATTGTGTGTTAGCACCCAGCATGGTTTGATATAAATCCATTCAAAAATAAGAAATAATTAGACGATCTTTTAAATAGTTTTGTGTATTTGTGTGTAAATGTTTTTTGTTTTGTTTTCCTTCTTGAAGTGCAACACGGTGGATATAATACAACTTCTTTCATTATAATTTTATTTGAATTAAATTATTAAAAAGGATATTTATTTAAAGTTTTTTTTTTTATATAGAAAGTGCCTCTATTAAAAATACATTAAACAATGCAAGACCAAAACACTGGACCTTGCAAGACTACTACTTATTAACTGTAGGACCAATATCATAAGAGGTCTTGCATGTTCGGTCTTGCATTTGCTCATCACTAGACAGACTTGATAGCAAAGACTGTCAAAGCTGTAGTGGGGCTACTATTAGAGTACAAACACATTCCGATTGAAGCTCAATCGGCATGTAAAGCTGATGGGATAATGATAATGAACGGAAAGATAAATTAAGCAGAAGTTTGATCAACATACAGCTGTTTCAAAAAAGATATTAAACAATCCTTTGTGACATTGACATCTGTATCTGACTTCTGTATCTCTTTTTACTTTATAGTTTAATTCTCAATACTGCTTTTAAGCGTGGTTGACACGGCCCAAGTGTACTTGGACCAAGTCGTGTTGGAAGATTTCGTAGCATCCAAGTGAGTTGACAGCCAGCCTACTTACTCTGACTTGGATAAAATAGTTAATACTATACAAGCAGCGTACAACTGAGACGCGCGCAGCATTATTATATTATAGTTATATAGCAGCATCCAAGTGCACTTGGTCCAAGTACAGGGTGGGTCAAATTCGACGCTTTTAAATGGAAACACCCTTTTCTATAGGAGATAGACAAAAACTTATATCGGTGTCTGGAGCTCAATTTTTGTCAAAAACATGATGGTGAAAACCGCATATCTATATTTGTTACCGTTTCGGAGTTACGGGGTGTTTTTCAAAAATATGCATTTTTAACAAATGGCTGTAACTTTTTTGATATGGAAAATTTTGTATTTTTATGAAAACATTTCCAAAGCACCTTTTTACGTAGAATTTAATGGTTTAAGTATAGTTTTTTTAAAATTAATAATTTAAGAATTATCAACAGAAAATTTTATTTTTTATATGGGACACCCTGTATATTTTTAATTTATTGAAAATAATTTAAAATTACCTTTCCAAAAATATAATATGCTTGATATTTTGCTCGATTCCTCCTCGAGATATAGAGTATATAAAAATTCGCCCGCTTTAAACAAGTAGGCTTTGAACAGCACCGGCTGTAATGCAAAAAAAATCTAGCTGTGAGCATCAATTAAAACGAAAATAATATTTGCTATGAGAGGTGCAGAATTGTATAACAATTTAAAATATATTTAACCAACATCAGCACAACTATATCAACAGTTAAACTATATCTAATAACAATAAAAATAAATAGCAAACCAAGACATGAGATTTTGCTACAGGTGTTCGACATATCGACCGTCTTCTGTTATGGACAGACGGGGTAGTTTTTGAACGTTTCTCGCGGAATTCATTAACTCAGTGGGGGTGAAAGATACCCTCTCTTAACTGCTAAGTATTTTTAATTCTTGTCTAGATTATACGGAAGAATAAGGAACCTTTATTCTTCCGCAAATATATCCATAGGATTAGATCCATGGGCACTAAGTCAGGCGGCCTCGAAAGCCAACGGCTGGGATCTTGGTTAGCTATTCAATTATTCTTGAAATTGGCTGCAAAAATTTGCAGATAACTTCAGCGTTCAGAGGCGGTGTGTCGTCTTGCTGGAAAAATCTGTTTTCGAGTTCCATTAAGGGCAAATCATCAATAAGGGGTCCAACGCCTACTAGTTAAAAGTGGCGAACTTTTAAAAATTCTGTATTTCGAAGTGGATTATAACAAAATATCAAGTGTGCTATATTTTTGGAAAGGTAATTTTAAATTCTTTTCAGTTAATTAAAAATATAGATGGTGTCCCAAATAAAAAATCATTTTTTCTGTTGATAACTGTTAAATTATTAATTTTAAAAAAATTATACTTAAACCATTAAATTCTACGTAAAAAGGTGCTTTGGAAATGTTTTCATAGAAATACAAAATTTTCCATAGCAAAAAAGTTACAGCGATTTGTTAAAAATGCACATTTTTGAAAAACACCCCGTAACTCCGAAACGGTAACAGATATTGATGTGCGGTTTTCACCATCATGTTTTTGATGAAACTTGAGCTCCAGACACCGATATTAGTTTTCGTCTATCTCCTATAGAAAAGGGTGTTTCCATTTAAAAGCGTCGAATTTGACCCACCCTGTACACTTGGACCGTCTCATCCCGCCTTTATCAATTTGTGTGGTAGGCTTTTATAATTAATTTCCTTGATAACTTCTTAATTCCAAATAACAAGGATAAAGATTTAAGACAAAGAAACAAGTAACATCTTTACAATGAAGAAACGCCAGACAAAAATCAATTAATTAAATTAATTGCAATACGTTTCTATTCGGTGAAAGTTTATGTACAATTGTTCCATTGTATAACATTTTTTATATAATTTATTTTCTATGCTAAGTTAACCAGAAATCCAAAAACATACTGTTATAATTTTACCTTTTGCCAGTTAATTTTCCTCCATATTGTGTAACTAATGTTTTTTCTTCATATCATATTCAAATAATATGTAATTATTACATACGGCGTTGCATGTTGTGTGAAAAAATAGGTTAAGGTATTTAATTTGTCTAGGTTCGCTGATTGCAATATTTCAATTATCAGTTTAATTCAAAGAGATTTTTTCTTAATTCTATCGATTAATCAAGGTTAATCATAGATTGTTTAAACAGAATTAATAATATAACATTGGTGTAGGTACCTGTATAAAGTAATATTACAATATGATATTTTCCTAACAACCCGTTGACATGCAATTTCGAGTCAGCCGATTTATATAGTTGGAGAATTGAAACCAGTATATTTTTATGAAGCTG